TCGGCGGCCATCCTGTTTTAATATCGAGTAAATTTTTGTCGAAAGTGTAAAATACAATAGGATAAATATGTGAATTAAAGAAAGGTGTGAAACAGTCAAAGCTAAAATTGGTAATTTCAATAGGATAAATACAGGAATTATCAAAAAGGAATAAAACAGTTGCAGATAAAACTGGTGTTTAATATGCGGCTATTTTATTATATTTTTGTCATTCAAATGTCCTGTTGAAAAGCATGTAGACTGCATTTAATTTTTTTTTTCAGTGTTTGAAGTTTTTTGTTCATCCAACAATATTTAATTAGTTCATAATTCAACAAATTTATAGCCAAATATAAAGAGTTCAAGGAATGTAGAACATCCAATATTTTTTAAACATTTCAATAAATTTACAGATAATAATCAGGTACTTACATACCAGTTGTCGATATAAATATTTTACTTTCTAAACCAAATAAAATTCATTAAAATGAGAACATATTATTCTTATATATACCATTTATGTCAATTTAGAGGAAATATTAACAATAACATAAATAATGTTACAATTCCTGCACATTTTTAGTTAAAATAATAATTTTTTTTTTAAAGTAACAAGAATAATTTAGCAGAAACAAAGCAAAGAGGTAGATAAGTATATTTTTTTCAAAAAAAAAAGAAAGTAAAATTATTGATTTTAAAAATATATAGTATTCAATTAAAACATAAGTAAAGTTTAATTTTTTCAATAGTTTATTGCTAAAATCAAATTAAAATATAATTATCAAATATAACCTTGATTCCTGTTATTACTTTTTAGCTTAACTATTAAAAAAAAGTATAATTATTGCTTTTAAAATATTATATATTAAATTAAAAAATAGGTGTTAATTAATTTTCATCAATAATTCATTACTTAAGTCTTTAATTACACTTATAAAATTTTACCCAGTTCTTTTTGCATAACTTTTTAATTGAATAATTAAAAAAGTAAAACAATTGTTTATAAATACATAACTAATAAATTCAAAGTTAAAAGCATAAACTTATTTTTATTAATAATTTATTGCCAAAATCAACTTTAAATACAATGTATAAATTAGTTTTGGTCAACTTTATTTGTCAGTCATTATTGCAATATTATTTAATCAACTTATTAATTCTGGAGTAATAAGTTAACTTCAGAAAGTTAACTTTTTATTTTGGGGTAATAAGTTAACTTTAAATACAAATATACTTTTTTTTAAAAATACTTCCTGGCATAACAACTTATTATCATCGTATCTATCTTTGCTGATCATCATTATTATTGTGCTTTACTTTACACTTAAGTACAGAACATAACATTTTCCATTTCCCAAAGGCCAAAAATGTAATGAATTTGTCTTTCAAAACAATAAAACATGCATAAGTACACACGCTAAATCCGAATTAGATCGCATGAAAGTTTATCTACGCCAACCTATGTATGCAAAAAGCAAGACCAACTACTTTATGAAGGTAAGGAGAGAGTTTGCTAAATCTCAAGTACACAACACATATAGCAGCTATATTCATACTATATCGTTTGTGCTGCAAAAAGTAAGGCCCCGTAGCACGATATTTTAACAGGGTTTAAAGCCTATCCAATAGATACAAATCACCTTTAATTTATTTATAAAAAAAATTTTTTTTTTTACATTGAAATCAACATATATCAGATATAGATTTTGTTTAAATAATAAACACTTTATATTAATTGAAAGAACTTGGAGTGAGGTTGGGAAAATAAATCCCAACAAATTTAATTTTGGAAATATTTACAAAAGATATATTTCAGATATAAATACAAGTACTAAGTTTTGTAGTATACTAGTATAGTTTGTCTATGGTAAGAACTCCCCCCACCACAAAGTCTGGGGCCATCTGCTGCCATGGAAAGAAGAATAGCGCATTTCAGTGGGGAGGGGGGTAGGTTCGCTTCACTCTAGACAGGGTGCGTAAACAATTCTTTGAATCAAAAATAAGCACTTTTTAAAAACTTTTCAAGCACTTTACAAAAATTTTCAAGCACTCAAAAAATTCATATTCAATCAATGATATTATGGAAAAACAAAAACTTTTTATAAACAGTTTTAGCGTTAAAAAACAACAAAAAGAAACGGGCGTAAATCGAAACAATCAGTACTTTCCCACATCACCGAGTGAATTCGACTTGACCCTGAACTCAGAACAAAAGTAGCCTTACCCCCTACGTCAAAAAAAGTGTTAGAAGTAAAATAAAATAAACAAGAACAAAATTAAAAAGAAAAACATTTCATAAGGATCTGATATTCTCTATCCGAATTGGAGCACTCGGATTTTGGTTTCAAGCGCGCGCACATGCGCAAGTCATAACGTGGATACGACATGAAGTCCGCGTGAATGATTACGTAGCTAACTTGCCATTTTTCGTGAAATGCATGGGATCCACCAGATATCACTGAAGGGGGAAAAAAATTACTCGAAAAAAAAAAGCACTTTTTAAAAACGCCAGCTAAAAAAAGCACCTTTAAAAGCTTTTAAAAACGAATTCCCCAAAAAAACACCTTTAAGTACTTTTTACAAACGCTACGCACCCTGCTAGAGCTATAGATGTAAAAGATTCCCTTCCCCACACCCCTACTTGAAATAGTTATACCTTGTTACCATCCACTGCCACGGATACAGACGAATGTTTAGGGGAGTTCTTACTTTAGACAAACTATACATTTAAGAGATAAATCCAGATTTTTTAGACTGTTGAAAGAGCAACAAACTTCGGAAATGAATTTGGTCCAGTAGATTTTGGATAAGAAAATTTAGTTTAAAAAACTTCAAGCCCTGTTACATTAGACTTTCGCGATTAAAAACACTTCAGCTACAGCACATAAAGCACCAAAAGTTCTTTAAATACGAAGAAAAGTTATAACATTTATTTCTAGCACCTTTAAATGGTCGACATTTACTCACACAAGGAGATAATCAGAATGCTTTTAAATTATAGCACGTCGATTTAATAACTTTTAATATTTTATTTTTAAAAATTTTATTTTTATACTTTTCCATATTAAAATAGGTCTATGACTATTTATCAGGAAATTTAAATCAAAAAGTTGTTAAGATGTCTAAAAACAAAGGATTCTTTTAAAAATTTAGTGAAAATAATAAAGGAAAATTAGCACAGTTTTTCATATGCAGACCCAAATATGTAGAATAACGAAAACTAACCAGTTATAATGGATTGTACTGCATTGAATACATTATGTAAATACATTTGTACATAGTGGTAAAATGAAGGTGATTTGTATGGCATATATACAGAAGAAATTAGTTTTTGTTATGCCATAATATTAGATTTTTGAAAATATTTTTCTTGTAAAATTAACGATTTTAGTAATTACTTGTGTATATTCGATTATGTAAATCAATGTTGCCAACTACAAATTTTGTATAATTTATAATTATGACAAAACATAATTTAAAATTTTTTTATGTTTTGGAATTTATAAAACAAATAACAGTTACTGGATCAGAAAAAATTTTCGGTTATATTTTTAAAAGACTTCTTAAAATATTAAAAATACTTAACTTTTCAGAAAAAATTATTTCTTAATGGAAAAAATATAAATAATATCCTGATTTTTCCAAGAGAAAAAAAAGGAAATTATTAATTTTGTCTTAAAAGTAAGAAATGTTTAAATAAGTAAGTTCAATAAGATTTCTTTACTAATTTCAGTTATCTTGCAGAATTCTATTTAGTTGGCAGGTATGATGAGTAAATTTTATGACATGATCATTTGGATTATTTTTTTTATACATATTTAAGTTGTTTCGTAATTCAAGTGTAAATTCAAATTCATACATTATCGATGCGTAATGCTCATGCAAATTCATATCAATTTAACATCAATCTAGATTTGTAATAGAATATGATAAAATCTAATTTAGGAACATTTATATAGTCTTAACCCAATCAACAAGTTATAATGTTCTTAATGCAATTTATTTTCTAGTAACTGGTAATAAAATTGAGAAATTTTAATCATATTATAAAAGTGTTTCCAAATTCAAGACAATTGTAAAAAAAAAAAAATGAAGGCTGAAATTTAATAAAATTTTTTCATTGATATTTTAACAATTCAAAATTAAATTGAAAACATTAATTTCAAGCAACAAAAATTTAAATGCTTGCATTTAATTTTAAAGACATAAGCTTTAATTTGAAATTAATTATGAAACTACTTAAAAATAAAAAATATTTTTTTGTCTTAATCTTGAAACGAAAGAAGACAAATATTAAATTCTGTCATTAGAAATAATAAAAAACAATATTCGTTAAAAAAATTAAGTATATTTTGACACAACATTTACTGCAAAAAGAAATTAAAACCTATCATAATTAGATAATGCAGTAACTTCATAAGGATATACTTGCTTTAGACTTACATCGTAAATTTATAGGTTAAAAGTAATTTTCATGCATGAATTTGGAAACACTGGTATCAGTGGTAATCAAATTATTAAAAAAAATGGCAAAAGAGAAAAAAAACAAATTGAGTGATTTTACGACAATGAGAAATGCTATCTATCAACACATGTTATGATACAAGAAGATGCAAACTGAAGGTAAAATTTACTTGAAGGAGAAAAACATTTAACACAAGAGGTACTTTTTTTTTTCACCATATACAAACACATTAACATGAGAAACACTCTCACGAGAATCAATTTGTGTATAGTACTGATAAACCATGATCCCACCCATTTATGAATGATTTTTTTTTAAAACAAACACGCATACACTCCAACAATATGAGTCACAAAACGGCTTTCCGTTTCTTGAAAATAATGTCAAGTAAAAATTGCATTCTCCCATCAAAGTTTTAAGAGCCCCGATTCCAAAGCTCTCACTTGATCCGTTCGAAACTTGTTTTTGTGCGTTTCTTTCATTCGAAACGTGTCTGCTTATTGCGCAGAGATCACAACCCAAAAAATACGCGTTCAAAATTAATGCAACAGAAGAACTATTTTGAGTTCCGATGAGAGAAAAAGTAGTGGCAGCTTTTCTGTACCAATTGTGCCGGTACAAGCAAAGACTCCAGGTACTTTTTGTTGTTTGTTTTTTATTATTAAAAATGGAATGGTTTTGGAGCAAAGATGAGTTTTTCTTATTGTTGTATGTCCCAGATCTCTTCGAGGAAGGCAGGAAGCTTTTTGTTCTGGACCTTGAGTGAGAAGCACAACTCTGAGTTCATGTTGCCGAGTGTGCGGAGCTCGACCAGTGTGGAAAGCAACCTCGCAAAATAGTTTTTTCCAGGTGGTCTGTTTGTTGCAATGTATGCCCTGAGTGTGTCTATGTAGAAGTCTTGAATTTTTTCCACTTTCTTTGCCTCCAGCAGTGCAGGCCTCTCTACAAATGAATAAATCAATAAAATTAGTCTACATTAAAACAATAATGTTAGTTATATTTAAAACACAATTGAAAAGCTGTGTAAAAACTAAACAAGTGAAAAATTTGAAGAAAAAAAAATATCTCAAATAGAATTTGTAGAGCCTTATTCTAGGTCTTCATATCTACCAACATTGAAGAAATAGAATAACTAGCGACATTTTTTAGGCTATGAGTAAAATTTTGGTCCATCATGCATAATCATGTAAGTCAAAAAGAGAAATTCAAAATCGGAAATAAATAAACTAACAGAGTATAAACAACTCTTCCAACACACACCTCCGTGCTTACATTCTATTTTGTTGGAGATTTTAATCAGCCTAATAAACAATGAGTTTAAAGAGGAAAAATTAAAACAGAGGAGTAATAGTACATTGGCTGAGTGAGGCTAAGCTATCAAACATGATCAGATTTGTAAAATTCGCAGATCCTTATATTTATTTACGGTTCAGTTGATTTTATGCATTTCTTGAATAAGCTAGCATATGTAAAACTAAATTATGTTCTTACTCATATAAACTTAAGGAATTCAAACTAATAAATAAACATATAGGTATATTAAATTATTTGTGTTAGATACATTTAACATAGCAGAAAATATTATCTTTCTTTTTAGATAGTAAGTAGACATGGTATAAGGATGTAAAAAATGTTAAAATGAACTGTATTTTAATATTTAAATCCATTATTTGTACAGATACTACACTGGCATGCAATAGTAAAATGAACGTAAGTGACAAAAATTTCACAATTGAAATTTTATAATTGTCACTCATGTATCACAAGCTACATATTGCAAATAAATTTTGTTTTTATAAGTTTTCCGAAATTTTAATATAGCATTAGAAATAATAAGAAAAGTTTTCAAGCTGCTTTTCTTGAAATTAATTGCAATGTATGGCAGTACATTTTTTATTTATTTAAAATACTTATAACAGTCTGGAAGTCAAGTATCAAGAATTTGTTTAGGTTACGAAAGAAAACAGTCTTAAATTGTTTAAAATAAAGCTTTTTAATCATCTACAAACAACAACCTCTGTTTCTTCGTATGCATGCTATCAATGATCCTAGATTTAGATACTTGTTTTAAAATATTAGAAGTTTAATGAATTGGAGGCCCATTTTCATGAAAAAAATATCTCAAAGAACAATATTTCAAAAAAAAAAAAAGGTTAATTTTACTTTTTAATCAGACTAAATATTTTCACAGTGTTGCTTTAATTTCTCCTGAACCTCATTCGCACGATTGGGCACATTCTGCTCCATTGCACCTGGTTAGAGCGTACCAAATTAAAAAATTTAAGGGGACAAGGGAACTAAACAACACTGTTGGCAGTTTACCCTTGATTTTTCAGAAATAATGAACTAACTGACAAACTTGGTGCTCACACAGCATGAATATTTTCATCTAACAAACTTTTGAATACATATTCTAATTAGAAGTCTGACAACTACAATTTCAAACTATTACTTTTTAATAAAAATCACTGTTACTTTGTTTTTTTTTCTTCTAAAAACCACAGAAACCTAAGAGTTAATTAATCCTTAACTAACTATTGATATAAGTTTCAAAATTAAAACTGACCTGAGAAGATAACGATGGCTGTTAGGAGTGCATATTCGGCATTGTCCACTTTGAGGACACACATATTCCTACAGAAATGGAAAATGGAATCCGCAGAATCTCCCATGCAGGCACTGCGGTAGTTTTCTCTCGTGTATGGCTGGTTATTTGCAAAAACTATTGAATCTGTTTTAATATCGTACTTCCTCGCTGTCCTTAACATCATTACTTCACTTGAACAAGCCTGAAAACGCAATATGTCTTTTAAAAATATGCAATAAATCAATCTTAATTTGTATGAAAGTATATCAATTAAAAATAAATATTTATAAGTACACAATTTAAGGAGTAACATTAAGACTATTAATTAAAGAGAAACCATATGAAATAATAATGAAATTTTTGATAGTTTCTAAAATCCTAATTGTAAAATTAACTGAATATAACAATATATCCAAAGATTCGTGTAGCTTTTGTTATCAAAATTCATTGCACCGATTGATGGAATTTTTGATCATTCTATATCAGTTTTAAAAAACGAAAATTGATCAAATTTCTTAAATGGTTGATTGTGAATAATCTTTGTAAATGGTTGATTGTGAATAATCTTTGTAAATGGTTGATTAAAAATAATCTTTGTAAATGGTTGATTGTGACTAATCTTGGGAAACGTTAGATTGTGACTAATCTTCGTAAATGGTTGATCGTGAATAATCTCAAATTGTTCAGAGTTATATACATTTTCTACTAAATGAATCCAACTAAGTATTTAAGATAAAATATATCTTTCTAAAGGATTCTTTCTATTAAGTTTAGAGAGCTTTTTTAAGAACAGACATCTTTATTAAAAAATCAAATTCTTGAGAGCCAATTTTTTCTTTTCTTCAAAGGGTACACTTTTGGTGGCGTCATTTCTCTGTCCCAAATTTTAAAAAAGTCAAATCAGAGTCACCTATGGAATGCTTACTTTTAGTAACGTGATTTGGTCTTCTCGAGAAAGTGTGTCGAAACCAGGAACTCTCTTGGAAAATTCGACGATGAGTTGGACGGTCAAGATGGTAATTTCGGTGATGTGTTGGAATCTTTTCATACTATCTTCTTCACTATCACCCAAAGGAAAGGCCTACAAGAAAGCAGTAACATTAGAAAACCTTAAAAACAGTTTATATGACACAACTTACAAAAGTATTTTTTTTACGATTGAACTACAAACTAAATGAATTTACAAGCGAAACATAATTTTTTACTTATTCAGGGTGCGTAGCCAAATCTTTCAACAAAAAATAAGCACCTTTTATTTACTTTTTAAGCACTATATACATTACAAAATACAAAATAATTTTCAAAGACTTTACATGATCATGATAAAATAACTAGTTTTTGACAAAGACCTATTTTCTTGATTATATTAGACATTAAAAAATAATCAAGAGATTTTTCTGTTCGATTTCACAGGGCGGTAAATAGAGCTAGAAATTGAGAATATCTAGCAAAATGCAGCAGAGTTGCACATGAGAATGCAATAATCTCACCTAACCCAACTCACTATACGCACATCTAGACTTTCAAGTATTTTATCAAACCTGTAAAATAATGGGCACTTTCATACGCTATGGACCGATGGTAAGCTGAAATAGATGGTGGTTGAATGAATTGTGGAAAACGTTGAATAGAACAATGTGAAAAGCACGCCTTTGTATAATACATGAAGAAAATTGACATGGTAAAGAAAAAAAATCTAATTTTCGAAAAGGGAAAATTAAGCACTTTTACGCACCATGTTATATAATTTCCAAGTGGTTGAAAGTGCACGTTCTGGATTCCTTTGCAAGTACTCATGATAATTAATTCATATAAGAACAACACATTAAAAATCACCATTGAGTACAGGAAAGAAATGGACTGATATTTAAACAGACAGGATACTAATACTTACTGTTATTTTCTTAAAGTCTTCTTCAGAGGGTGATTCATACTCTTCTTGGAACACTACTAGTTTGCTAATTAATTCTTCTTGGGCTTTACTGAGTGTCTTATTTAGAGGGGCCACCAAGGGACTTCCAATGGGCTTTTCGTCCTTATCGGAGCCACTATCCCTTGTTGTACTATTTGGCTTGTCTTTATCTTTATTTCTCTTTGTTTCCCTTTTAATGGCACATTGGTATTCTGGAACAACACCTACAGAACAATAAAAAATTAGATTTTCCGTGGATTTTTGTTAGAAAAAATATCATATAGGTATTCCAAACTGATGGGTCAGTTATATACTTATCAAACATTTCTTAGTCAGATTGAAAATTATTTAAGTCTTGCGTAGAGAGGAGTGAGTAATCAACCTTCATCTATCAAAAGGTATCACTGGATAAAATTGAGTTAGCATGTCTTATATGCTAGTGAATTGATGTTTAATAATTGTAAGTGGTAGTTACGCCACTATCTCCCGCACCAGAATTTTATCAGGGATAGAATTCAATGAACGGATACCACTAGTTGCCGAACCAAAAGAGCTGAGCTAAGTTCACCGGATTTTGAGCGCCTGTGGTGAGAGCTGTATTAAAATCACGTCCGTTTATCGTGAGAACAGTATTGAGTTCAAGGTTGTGTGCGTGTGGTCTCTCCTGTGTTGCTTTCGAAAGCAACAGCACGAGGAGGACGATGATTGTGTCACAAGTAGCAAGTCAGCTGTTCAATGGGGACCATCCATCGAAGTGGGCAATACTTTCGATGTAGGGGAGTTCATTTCACGATGGCAGGTCACCACTGAGTGGAGAGTGGAAACCGACAATGTCAACTCTTCATCTATCAAAAGGTACCTCTAGATTGAATCAAGTTAGCATGTCAAATATACTAGTGTGTTGATGTTTAATAATTGTAGTGGTAGTTACACCACAGTATCCTGAAAGGAACTTAAAAGTTCTTTGGGGTAAAAAACATAATTTTTTTAAAACCATAAATGTAATGCAAATTTCATTTTATAGTAAATCAATAAATTATTCATGCGAAATAACGCTTTATGCTGTTTTAATAATTGTTGCGAGTTTTCTAACAGTTATTTATACTTTTTGTCCAGCTTGAATTCCTACCTCTTTATGTTAATTATGAAAATGGAAATAAGAAAAGCCACACTTTTGTAAAAACAAAAACATTTGTCATTTAATTTTTAAATATTTGAAAAATTGCATTGTATAAAAATTTGCCAAGATTGAGAATTATTCATTGGAAAAATGTCGCCAAATTAGTGATTTTTTGTTTAAAACTCTTGACAATAAGATAGTATAAAATCAGATTTACTTCAAGTGTAGGGCACTAAAATTATGCCTTTTTAATTTTCCTTGGCAACAGACTTTTAAAGATATTGACGCAGATGGGATATTGGTGTCCTTTTTGTATATTTTAATATAAAAAACAGTCTAATAATTGCTAAAAATTGTTAGATTATCAGAATTATGCTTAAACATATACTAAAATACAAAATACAAAAAGTTCTCAGAAAAAAAAAGTTTTTTTTTATTTATATTCAAAATTTTTTTTAATATAAATGAAATTAAAAAATAATCGTAAATGAAAGAAATTTCAATATTTTGACACTCATTTTTACCTATGTTAATAGGAATTAGTAAAGAAATATGTTTGCTAAAAATTCTGCAGCGAAGGATCTTATGAGCATACTCTGCATAAAAAACATCTTGGAATTACTTACACTCTGGCCTCATTCCCACAGCAAGGCATTTTTTTAAACGGCACTCTTGGCATTTTCTTCTCATATACATATCGATTTCACAGTTGTTGCCATACTTGCATTGGTAAACAGCATTCTTTGTGATACTCCGCCGGAAAAAACCTGCCAAAGGAACCATAAAAAATTTATTAATTTATAGGTAACTGAATTATTTATTATTTTAAAATAACTGTCTACACTCTTTAGTATGACCCCCCTTAAGGCGAACTTTTTATATAATGACCACTAAGCAAAGTTAAGTTTGTCATTTCATAGATGCAATGTTATTTTAACGCTCATTACAACATCCACAATCTGAGTCATTCATTTTACTATAGCAATCGACATTTAGTTTAATTTTTTTCTTCTTTTCAAAGGATACTGTTGCGTACTTTTTTTTCCTTAGTCATTCGTACCATCCGCTCCCAAAATCCTCCCCACCAAGCAGATGAAGGAGGTATGAACTTCCAATTGATCCTATGAATGGATGAGGAATCCTGAATTTCTTTCCAATTCAACTCTCTGAGTTTATTATTAGTTCCATGGAAATTCGTGCCATTATCTGTGTAAATGGTATCGACTCTTCCTCTGCGTGCTATAAATCTACGAAGTGCATCCAAGAAAGCATGCGTCGATAAATTCTGAGCTAGTTCAAGGTGGAGACATCTATAAACTGCACAAGTAAAAAGAGCTATCCATGCTTTCTCACCATTCTTGAGATATAATGGTCCAGCATAATCAATGCCCGTAATTTGGAATGCTGCTGAATTGGTAATTCTATCTTTAGGTAAGGATGCGGTAGGAGTCTCCAAATGTTTGGCTTTAAATCTTAGACAGATAGTGCATTGTGATATTATCTTCTTCATGAGTCGTCTTGCTCCACAGATCCAATATTTTTCTCTAACTCTTGAGAGCATTATCTGTAAACCAGCATGCAAAGATGTTTCATGCATTTCGCGTAATAGACGAGAAACAATAAAGTGGTGGTTTGGCAATAACACTGGTGTTTTGAAATCGAGATCTTCTTCTCCCAATAACAATTTGGTCTTCACTCTTATTAGACCATTTTCATCTCGAAAAACTTGCATATTTTTTATTCTTTTGTCTTTTTCATTTGTGAAAGTCTCATTTTGAATTAGCTTTAAGAGGAGATTTTCTGCTTCATTGTACTCTGTGCTGCTCAAAGTCACATCTAAAACTTTTTCTTTTCTTATGTTAGTTCGAGTATTTCGTATAAATCGCAAAATCCATGCAATCAATCTTACAATTTTGTGATACTTAGAGAAATATAATAGTCTTGTACTCAACACTTCAGGAATTGATACAACATGTGATGAAGTTGATGTTTCTATCTTCTCAGTGATATTGTCAACAACGTTAAAGTCACTTTTAGGCCAACTTTCCTGGTCTTCTTTAAGCCAATTGGGACCGCTCCACCATTTGCTCTTAAATAATGTTTTTGGACAACAGCCTCTAGATAGGAGATCAGCTGCGTTTAGCTCACTTGGAATGTAGTACCAATCTTCAATGCTGCAATTTTTGCGGATTTCCTCACATCGATTTTTGACGAAAACTGTCCCATTCTCTTTCTTTTTTATCCAAGTCAATGCAACCTGTGAATCAGTCCAGAAATATGTTACAAACTTTTGACTCTCTAAAGCTTTAAGAACTTCTAAATACAAACGTGAGCCTAAGACTGCAGCCAAAAGTTCCAATCTAGGAATAGTGACTTGCTTCATCGGTGCTATTCTGGCCTTTGCTATAGCTAATTGAACAACAACATTGTTTTCTTTTTTAGCTCTGAGAAATACACATGCTGCATACGATGTTTTACTTGCATCACAGAAAACGTGTATAGTTATATTTGCTTTAAAAATATGCATGTGTCTTGAGATGCGACATTCTCGTAACCACTGAATATTTTCCAACCATTGAACAAATTTATTTGATATGTTTTCAGGAAGTTTATCATCCCAACCACAATTATTTTTCCACGCTTCTTGTAAAAGTAACTTTGGAAGTAATGTAGCTGGACACAAAAATCCCAAAGGGTCGAAAATTTTTTGAGACACGGATAGCAACATTCGTTTCGTTATTTTTTGGGTTGCTAGCCTTACTGAGTTGACTTCACAAAATAATTCGTCTGTTTTTGTGTCCCACATCAACCCCAGAATAGGAACTATGGTGTCTTGAGTGTCCTGTAATTTCCTTTTTCTTGTAACATTTGTGACCCATCCTCTTAGATCGAATTTTCCTTTTGTCATCAAAAGAGAGGCTTCGTGAATAAATTTTTCGACATCCTTTTCTTTTTCAACACTGGTGACGCAATTGTCCACATAAAATGATTTTGCAAGCTCTTCGGCCGTTTTCTGAAACTCTCCGGTTTGATTCTGTAAATGATGTTGAATTGTAGCATTGAGCAGAAATGGACTGCAGGTGAGACCAAATACGACTCTTCTGTGTCTCCAGGTTACAATTTCTTTTCCATCTCTATCCCACCATAAGAACTTCAAGTACTTCCTATCATCTTCAGATATTCCAATTTGTAAGAATGCTTTTCTTATATCTGATGTTATCCCATAGGAATACTTCCTGAACTGAATGAGCATCTTTGGAATATTCTCTAATAAGTTTGGTCCACTTTCTAAACAAGAATTTAAAGATGTTCCATTACCATCTTTGGAAGACGCATCAAATACGGGTCTCAATTTTGTAGTTTGGCTCGATTCTTTTATGACTGCTTGATGTGGTAAATAGTGACTTCCTGGCTCGTCACAATTTTCATCTATTTCAATGATGCCTTCTTGAAGCCATTGTTCCAGTACTTTATTATATTCTTCGAATTTTCCAATTCTTTTTAATCTTTTTGTTAGCATCACCAGTCTACTTTCCGCATGTTGGCGATTATTGCCTAAGATATGATGAGTATCCTTCCATGGTAAACTAACCTCATATCTACCACTTTCATATCTGCGAACAGTTTGTTCAAAAAATTCTAAAATTTCTTCATTCTTCATTTTTGTTGTTTTAGCTTCGGCTGGATCTCGTATTCCAATAGTCTCCAAGCTCCAAAGGTTCAATAGTCTCCAAGCTCCAATGCTGGGTTGGCAGAATAAGCTTAAAGTAGTGTTTGTTTTTTCTTCTCTATGTTGTTGACCCATTATTGTCCACCCAAGCCGAGTTTCAATAGCCATAATATTTTCATCCAATTTTTCAATTTTACCCGTGAGAATTTGAGGCAATACATCCGCACCTAATAACACTTTAATTTCTAAAGGATTGTCCCCAACGTCTGATAAGTTAATTGATTTTTGCTGTAGAATGGGATAAATGTTTTGATTCTTTAATCTCGGTACGAAATTGCATATCTTTGTCTGGGCTAACATTGGACATGTAATTTTGAATTGACCATCTAGGGATTTTATATTGACATCATAGACACTGTGTTTTTCCTGACCAGTTTCTATTCCGCCAAACAATGCATGGTTTAAAATTTCTTCTCCAACTATTGGCAAATTTAGCTTTTTTACCCCCTCTGTTTTTATATAGGACCTTTGGGAACCGGAATCAATCAAAACTCTTGCGAGTCTATCTGTTTTATCTATGCCCTCAACTTTTACTATCAGTGTTTGCATCAACGTTTCACCCTTTTGTTGATTAACAAGAGTTTTAGAACTACTGCTATTTTCATCATTTTTTCCTTTAGTACTTGACTTTGTTTGACCTTGGTTTTCACCATTTTTTATGTTCCAACACATTACTGTCAAATGTCTTCTATTACAAATTAAACATTTAACAGAACTTTTGCATTGTTGTGCTGGATGGCCGATTTTCAAACAACGGAAACATGCTCTTTTTTCTTTTAAAACTGTCTTTTTATCGTTATAATTTAAATTGTGCAACTTGAAACATTCCACTGAGCTATGTGAATCCTTGTCACACCATATACATTTAAGCTTTTTGAAATCACTCGTGTTATTCCTTGAATCACCTGAATATATACAAGCGGCAGTTGGTGGAACTACATCAAAACTTCCTTGGCTACCGAATCCACTACGAGCTATTTGCAGGCGTTCCTCACTTTCAACTTCAATTCTGAGAAATTTCAATAATTTTGTAAGATTTTCTGTGCTAGCATTTGTTTCTCCGGATGATCGAGATCTCTCCCACGCCTTCAAAAGATCCTCTGGAAGAGCTGATTCTACTAATGGGTAAAGCATGGCGGCATAAATATCACTTTTAACGCCAAGCGATTCCAGAGCTCGTAACTGTGTTTCCAATTTATCATACAATGTCGCCAATGGCATGTGACCTTTTTTTGTAGCCTGTGCCAACACTAATCTTAACAATTCTCTAATATAGATTTCGACCATCAGATCATCTCTTGCGAATCTCGATTTTAGTTGAGTAATTGCTTTTTGATAATTTTGGCCTGACGGTGGAAAACTATCTACCAGTTCTTTTGCTGGTGACCCGGGAACCATTGCTTGAACCAAATATTGAAATTTATCATCATCATCGATGGTGTTGTCCTCATGTATTTTACGGAACTGTCCCCAAAATCCGAGCCAATTTTTTATTTCTCCATTAAATTTCTGTAGTTCTAACATTGGAAGCTTGTATTTTCTCTTCATTTCCGCACTATTTTGTGAACTTGGTTCATTGTTCGCCAAACGAAGATTAACAGTTTCTTTTAAGTACACATATCTGTCAATATATTCTTCATTGGCTTCAAAATCTTTTTCATAATCATCATTATTTTCTAGTTTTAATAAATTTTCAGAAATCTGATTTTGCACATCGTTTAATCTTTCGAATTTATTCGTCAATTGTGATAATAAAATCTTTACGCGATCCACTTTAACCTCCGTATTCGATAACTCTGCTTCTAAATTATTGGCAGTTAAAGTAAATCCTTGGCGCAATGGCTTTCTTTTATTTTTTAATTCTTCCATTTATGAAGTGAAATATTAATTAAATTCTGATAGTTTCACTTACTTTTGTTTCTTTTGTCCTTTCTTTTTTATGCTTGGCTCTTGAATATCACACGGACGCCACTTAATGTTGCGAAGTCGAACTTTGAATTTTATATACACATTTATTTACATGACGAGGACATTTTACACAGGAAGAAACATAGAAAGAATTACTATTTTAGACATCGTTTTTCTTGTTAACTTATCGATTGTTTGTTCTATAATATTTTATATTTTGTTGCCATTTCATTACAACTAAACTATTTCCCGCTTTCCAATATTACCTATGCGAACCCGCAACAGATACAGTAAATGTAACAGTTATTATACTGCAAATAACACTGTTTCTACCGTGACAATCTGCATGCAACAATCTATGAGGAAACATGTTTTAATGTGTAAAACGTCATTGCGAAGTAAATGCGTTGTCAATAAAATACAGACAAAATGTTAATTTTCTGTAATTACTTCGTCCCAAAAATAGCATTACAGCGCTATTTAAACCCCTGGTGTCAAAAAACTGAAATATTTCTTATTTAAAAAATTGAATTCCTATAATCTGAATCTAAATACTATCTACTGCGAATTCGGTGGTTTTGTTGTGAGGTTTTCTTGTCACCGGGCTATAAAAAACATCTAATTTAAGTATAGCCCCGCTGTATAATTTTAAATGGTACTTTTACAAACATTTTAACATTAAAAAATTGCTTAATTACCAATTATTCTACTAGCATTGTTTTGTCCAAATTAGCATAAAGTTTTCAAATTATGCGTAAAGATCGTTGTGAAATCTCGACATTACGCCCTTTTTTGTTTGGGTCGTTATATCAAGTGCTGACTGTAAACGTCGGATATATTTTATAATTTGTTACCTTTGCATCCTTCGCAAGTGAGAGCATTGTAGTGGTAGCCGGATGCACGATCTCCGCATACTAGGCAAAGTTCTTCCTGCTGACGAGGCGCAGGTCCCTTCTTGGACTTTTTGTCATAGTCGTAGCAGCTGCCATTCATAACACTGCTAGGTGGGCTCAAGTCATCTTTATCTGTAATGACAAACAAAACTAATAAACACACGTTTCTAGTGACGATTCTTTGACTGTTAACAGAAGAAATTTTAATTACTAAACAATTTCATGTTACATTTATAAAAGGCACTCAAACATAGGAAAGTTCTCTCCTAATATTTAAGTACAGGATGTGGTAAACTCCGCATCTTTAATCTAATTATAATTTCATATTTAAAGTAAGAGGTCAATCAAGCATTACATATAAAAGTAGTTTTTGGCGATTTTTGACTTTCTGCCACCCCAAGTAGCACAGGGTTATTGTAACAGCTTTAGTCTACATCGACCGACAATGTCAATATTGGCGAAAATCGACATTGTGTGTTCGATATTGTACGATTGCTGTCGATTTCACATTAAAAGTCTGTGTTTGTAAAGCATTTCATTTTAAACTTTACTGTGTTCTTAAATCAAAATTAATCATTTAAAAGACAAAAAATGACGTCAAATTTTAATAATTCCAAAAAATAAATTTAAAATATAAATTTAGAGATNTCTGTGTTTGTAAAACATTTCATTTTAAACTTTATTGTGTTCTTAAATCAAAATTAATCATTTAAAAGACAAAAAATGACGTCTAATTTTTATAATTCCAAAAAATAAATTTAAAATATAAATTTAGAGATATCCGAAATGCTGAGAGATATCGATCGACGTTCCCTAACGTTTTTCCAATATTGAACAATATTGTTTCGCATTATTATATCGTTTTTGTGAATTGTGTTACTTGGGACTTTTATCAAAAAATGAAAATTTTAAATCCACACTATGCCTAAAAAAATATTTTTCCATGTATGATTTTTGCACATAGGAATAAAGTAGTAAGTTGAAGTATTTTCATGTTTTTTTGTATTAGAAACTCCCCCTATCTTATGTAAATCATACCCACTTTTGCAATCATATTGATTGCAAAATCAGGAAAATCACTATCCCATCTTTTAAGGCCATCAAGGGAAAAATGCTTATGGGAATTTTCATTTTAGTCAATTAGTTAATTTTTTATTCTTAATATTTGTAATATGTGGGTTTAATTTTTTTTCAAAATTGTTTTTCTACATTTATCATTTTTTTGATGTCTAGAAAACAAAACAAAAAAAATCTTAAACAATTCTTTTTGGGATAATTCGAGTCTATAAATAACAAGACAGTACCATTCTTGAATCAAGCAGTATTTTTTTTTTAAATAACACTCATTACTGAAGCCATATAAATTAGATAGCGTTTTATATATGAATGTATTACACTATATTGTCGACATAATTGTATTTTTTTTTAAATGACTTGTAATTTTTTCAAAGCCAAGATAACTTTGAAAAACTTTTTCTCTATTTTTCCGGAAATGTCATTTGATTCCATCAATATTAAAGCTGTCCGTTTGTGCCAGAAATATTATAATTTATTTTAACACGGATTTACTATTAGTTACAAAATTCAAGATGAACACTAAGTAAGCGCTTAACAGAAGCAAAAAAGTTCCGAAAATAATGTATTTACAAATTCGTTAACATACAAAATTAAGATTTTGGCGTTACATTCTACGCCAAATAAATTGAGAACACCTGTTGATTTCTACTTTCCTTTGCAATAATTAGGTTTTTAGTGCATCTTACTAAAAAGATTATGTGTGTTGTTGAAAGGATAAAGATTTAATCTCGATTTTACAGAGCCCTAAAAAAAGAGCAACGATAAATTTTTTTCCACGAAAAAATAAATAAATAAAACGAAAGTGGGCAGGGGTTAATTCCTCTAGGTACCACTACCTTCAAAGGAAGTTCATATTTTAACCGTCCAATTGAAATTCCTGTGAGATATATCTTTAAAAGAGAAAACAACTTATCGAATAACTTTCTTCATTAGATAATCTACAAAAAAAATATCCCATCACTTTCGAATTTTAAAAACATATTACATCCAAAGAACCAGTTTTCAAGCAACCCTTTCTCCCATTGAAAAGCGAATTCCAGACCACATTTCCGTTGCCAGTCCCAACGTGAGGTGCTAGTCACACCTAAAACGTTATTAAAATTTATCTATTGAAGAATGGCAACTGTTAAAAAAATTTCAGACGATCGCCTTTAAGATCATCGAACTGGAAAAGGGTTCAAGGACGAAAAACAAGCCACTTTTTTTTCCAGCGAACTCGGGAATGTACTAATAAACTATCTTTTTAATGTTATTGCAAGCATCCTACGTAACAGAAGGTCAAAGTTACGATGGACGACTAAAACAATAGGAAAAATTCCGCAGAAAAATGCCATAATAAATTTCTATTAGAATTTTTTTTCCTCGCCCTACGACACAAAGGAATGATTGTTTTATCATTGTGTTGCGTGTTCGTTTATATGGAATAGTTATTTTGGACAAAAAATAAATAAATAAAAGGTAGAACCGTGACCGACTGTTCATGAAAGTGTGACTACGAATTTTATTTTATTATTCAACATAACTTTATAAATGACTATCAACACCGAATGTTTATTACAAAGTATCTTATTAAACAGCAACCGCAGAGAACCGGATTAATTCAAAATTATAAAAACGAATAACTAATAATTGGTCAGTGTTTTAAGAATGTGAACAATAAACAAAAATTACATTCAAGATTTTTTTTTAAAAACAAAATAATGAAATATTCTTTATTGAAATGATAAAGCATGAAGGTACAGAATTTTTTTTTTTTTAATAAGGATGATAAAGTTGTGATACTAAAGTAAAAGGAATGACATTCTTTTATAAGATAAAAAAATATATATTCAGTTGAAATGTTTAAGGTATAACTCCTACATTCATAATAAAAACTAAATTCTCGATTTCTATTTACTAGTAGGATAAAACTGGAAGGATCAAATTAATAAAATCTCGATAATCATTAGGTAGATTTTGAAAATATTTTTATTTATTTTTCTTAAATATTTATTCCGATCCCCAATGTGTTAATTTTTAACTTCTTTTTTGACAAGGATTATTTAAGAGCGATGATTACAGAACATCCTGAATTAATAAGTAGTTTAATGTATGAAAATTACACTTAATATATACACATTTTAGAAGTATGTACATCCAAGTCTAAAGAATCTACAAAATATAAAGGTGACGTTAAATATAAATGTTTTCAATATTTAAACTTTTCGAAGAATTACTTTTCTAAAATTGCAACGATTGTATAAGTAGCATTTTAATAGTTTCCTATTTTAAATTTTTTTTTGAAGTGAGGGGGGGGGGGGGTAATTGTGTAAAATCTCGTTGATCGGGAAAGTTGGCGCAAATTCCGCCAAATTGACACCAAATGATTTCATATTGCAAATTTAATGAAAACTAAAACTAAAAGTTCATTTAAAAATTGTTTTACAACATACGATTAAAAAAATTCCAGGTACAGTTCAATTTATAAAAACTTTTATTTACAAAGAGGCTCTTATTTTTTGGTTCATGCGAAAATTGTCGACGGAATTTTTCTTTCTTTACCTTTTTCTGATTTAAAAAATTAATGTTAAAATTTAAGGAACACCCAGTTTAAATTACTTAGTCAAAAATATTATAAATTAATAAAATAAAAAAAATATTTCGAAAAAGTTATATGCAGCATGTAATGAAAACTCATTTAACAAAAATTGACACAATTTGATTTCAAAATTAACTTAACAAAATTAATTTTTTTATTTTTAAATTTAGCATTAAACTTCATCAACATCATTTCGTATGCTGCAGAATTATTTTAAAAAATTCTCAAAATTTAGAGAAATAAATTTATTTTATATTGCCCTAATGAATAACCACGCGTTTTTGTAACCAAGAATTCAAAAGCAACAATACACAGCAGGACTTCACTTTTCAAAATTTCACTCTTTTATTTAGCAAATAATAAAACAAATTTTATTACGAAAAGCGAAAATTGCAATAAAAGTAAGAACAGAGAAAGTTTCGGCTTTTTTTTTATGACTTTTCATTTGAACCAATTTCATTTTTCAGTCACTCTTCTTTAGAAATAAAATAATAAAAAAAAAAACTTTTTTTTTTACTGCGATTATTGTATGGGCGATGGCGAATAACGAAATAACATCATCCTCGCCATTAAAATAAAAATCGAGTATGTGCTTGTGGGCCATTGTTATGCTTGTGTGACGAGCCATAGCCACTCGCGAAGCGTATTTCCCGCCTACTCTATTGTGAATTATTCTTGTTTAGGGGTCAAAGCAAATAGAAGAATCATCATTCAGTATGATTTATTCAATGGAAGTTTTTTTTTAGACATGTACAGGTACATTCCTTGGTAGAGAAGATTCAAGATTGGTTGAATAGATATATATGCATTACTAGTGGGAATAGGATAAATGCTTAATTTGAATATATTTTGCATCATTGTAAAGATGAAATGTAGGTAACCGAGTAATGCAAAAACAATTTTTTCTTATTTGGACATGATTGGCAATTGTTATCACTCGATTACTCTAGAACGAAGTACCGATTCAAATGCGTATAAATGTGTGTGTGTGTGTTTTTAGTGGAAACTACAAAAATTATATCTTTTATGGAGTTGTAGTTTTAAAATTAATGACGTCATAGATTCCGTTTCTCATAAGGATAAATTTCAAAAAATATTGTAAAAGGTTCACAAATAAAACGTTTGGAGGAAGAAGAAAAAAAATCGTTTTTACGGTAGTATGGCAAATTTAAAATTTCTGTTTTGTTTTTTAAGAGTTATATAAATATTACTTTTTTTTATTATTGTAAACTTATAAATCAAATGATTTAAAATACCCATATATACTCCTATCACTTGTTAAAAACAGAATTATAAGCTGATTCTTTAAAAAACACAAAGGGGATTTTAATTATGAATCTCAGATAAAATTTTTTTTTACAATTTGTGATTCATCAATATTATGAGGAATATGAATTTCTTCCACAACATTTCAAAATACAAGGCATAACTTGACATTTCTTTTAATCAATACACTACAGCAATATAACTATATTAT